AATTTCATTTCTTATATAAAGTAGGTATCGATACATCCCTAACTGAGATATAGATACCCTGTCTATGGCATAGATACCCTGCCTATGGTATAGATACCTTGCTTACATTCTGGAAAATTTCATCTTCAGGGGGGTATCGATACCATACTGACATTCTGTAATTTTTCGTTCAAGAGGAGGTATCGATACCCCTTCATATGGTATCGATACCCTATGACCAGAAATTATATTTTGAGCATGAAAATCACCTCATTTCTGCTCAAATACTTCCTATTTCACTCATTTACATATACTTATTTCATCTACTCATACTTGAACTCATTAATACTGATTCAATACATCCTTAACTTCAAAATCCACTCCTCAACATAAAATTCAAGAATCGTACTCAAATTTCAATATGTTCTAAATCAAATTCTAACACTTTATACTCCTTAATTAGGTTGATGACAGGTCAAATTCAAATTCAACTTATCAACTCTTTTCCATAAATTCATTTAAAAACCCATTTTCTTTAATCTCTTATAACTTCTTCATCTTTTGATTATAAGACAACTTAAGCTTTCCTTAAGCTTAGTTATCATCTAATGATTGAAACCCAACTTAAATTTCAGCTAATAATCAACTATTAAGAAATCTTACCTTTGCAAGTTGGAGTTCACGGTTGGGAGAATGAAGAAGAAAACTCTGGAGACTTTGATATCTCCTTCCCCAACCCACATGTACTAATATATATCTATTCTTTAATTAATTTTCCTTACAAATAACTCATTTACCCTTCTATTCTTTCTTCCTTTCAATTCAATCCTATACAATAATTATATATAAATCTTTATACTATTCAATCATTCTATTTTAATCATCAAATTCTGAGACTTTACAATTTAGTCACTAACCCGTAGTTTAGAATGTTACAAACAGGGTTTTTGGAAATGCCATTGTTAGTAGTATAGTCTGTAACAATTCTTTTTCCCTGCGTAACATCTTTATAAGGTGGATAAAAAATAGTAGAACCCTATAGTTTCTCAGTCTCACCAGCACTGCAAAATAGAATTGAATCTGCCTTCTTTCTGATTTCAGTACAGATTGGTTCTGTAACTGCTTCTTTCCCTTGTGAACCGTCTAATAGATTTGGACTAGTACTGGTAGAATTATGCTCGGTTTCACCAACAGTAGCAGTTGAACATGATTCATCCTTTTTCTTCTAGATTTTGGTTGTGGTAAGATTAGGAATGGATTGCATCAGACACCCTTTATCAGTATGACCGAATACCTTACACTTTCTACAACTAGAAGGCATCCAAGGAATCTCAACAAAAATCGTAGTTGAATGGCCATCTTGCAGAACAACTTCAATGTGTTTAGGGATATCAGCATTAACACAAATTTTAACATACTCTAATTTGGTTTTTACAGCAGTAACAATATCCATTGAAAATGGAACTCCAATTCCACTAGCAATATAACTTAGGCCCTCTTGATTGAATAGTTCTAAAGGAAAATTGAACAAATGTACCCAAATTGGGATTTTAGATAAATCGAAATTCAAGCGTTTCAGATTGGGTTCCCATTTCCTAAGAATTAGTGGCTTGTTTAGAACATGCCAAGGGCCATTTTCGATGACCCAGTCCCTAGCTGCTTCTGAAGTAAAAGAAAAAATGTAAAGGTTATGTCCAACTAGACTAACTTGTAAACGAGCACCTTGAAGAGCCTTCTTCTATTGAGTTTCGACAATTCGTTGCATGGTTAGGAAGTTTGGAGGTGGCCCTAAGAATTGTCCCACAAGAGAGAGCTTCCATTCCGATATGCACGCTTCAAGGATCTCAGAAAGAGGGGAAATAGTGGGAATTCTAATTTTTGACAATCGGGGGATAGTAATTTAGGTTTTGGCCCATGGAACTCCCAAAGAGTTTTCTCCAATCCATCAAGCAAAGAACAACAATTGAGGAAAAGTATTGACAATAAATGGCAGCAACAATCAGAACCACACCACCAGAGACACGACGGACGAAAATCTCAGCCGTTAGGCCCGCTAACGTACGCTCAGAGAGGAGCTCAGGTTTTTAAAAAATCATCTTTAGCTTGTTTGAGATTATTGTTAAAATGAGTTTGAAAAAAAATAAAATGTCCATTATATTCATTATGTTGTAAATTAAAAATATAAAATTTAAATTATATTTACACTTATTAATATTATGATTTTTATAATATATCACTTAAATTATAATAAAAATATAAAATAATTATTAAGTAATAATTTTTTTGATGATGTTAATATTAAATTATTAAGTAATAAATTATATTAAATATAAATTTAAATTATTCATTATGTTTAAATAATATAAATTTAAATTTTTACACTTATTAATATTATGATTTTTATAATATATCACTTAAATTATAATAAAAATATAAAATAATTATTAAGTAATAATTTTTTTTGATGATGTTAATATTAAATTATTAAGTAATAAATTATATTAAATATAAAATTTAAATTATATTTATTTTTAAATAATCAAGTAATAAATTATTTTTTAAGGATGTTAATATTAAATTATTAAAATAAAATATAATTACATAATTAAGTGGAGCTCATACATTTATAAGGTGAAATTATAATTTCTTCTCAAATGCAAAATTGTAAATGAAAAAGTTACAAATCAAAACAAATTTTTATATTTTTTATTCATTTAACACTGATTTTACGATCAAAATAATTTTTTTTAACTAAAAGTGCATTTAAAAAGACACGTAAAACGCAACGTAAATATTTCTTTTGTTAAAAAAAACTCTACGAGTGATGAGACATTAAAACCATTTCTTAAAATTATATGTGAATTTTTGTTCACTTTTTGTTTTATAAACAAAAGTTATGGATCGGCTTGACGAAGTTAGTAAAGTTTTCTAAATTTTAACTGATTTTTTATGACAATGTTTTTATAATAATTTGTGGTACTGTTGATAGAATATATTTAATTTTTCTTAAAGAAATATTATTATTTCTTAACTCTTGATTCATCAATTTTATCGTTTAGATGAAGATAACGAAAGCAAAATAAAAATGAATTGGAATCATCAACACCACTCATGAAATTCCTACAGCTCCTTTATGTAAAAAGCAGAAGAACAACTCATTATTGTTAATAATGGCCATTCCATTTGCATGCGTGACAGCATGGGTGCCAATACCCCATTATATATATATATATTCAGAGGCAGAGTAGGCTTTTGAAATTACACTGATCAGCTGGATTAGATTACTTTACCTTTGTTAGATTTTTTTTTTTAAAGCGATTGATTAACCAAAAAAAACTATTTAAGTTTATTTATGTATGATCATAAGCTTCAAATTTATTTAATATTATATTTTTTTAAAAATAGATATTAGATAATGAGTTCAAAACTCAAAGAGACAATATTTGCTCCCTAAAATAAATGATAATTTATACATTTTCAGTGAAGGAACTTTTTTAAGTCAATATGTACGTTGAGATTTATCAAAGTCATACCAATAACAATGATTTAAAAAACCTAATTGGCATATGTTATATATAATATTTCATATGGATGTTTCATCTTTCATAATTAAATGTATGATAACTTAAGGTGTAAATGTTGTAACAATATAATTCTCATAACTTGTGAGTTTTTAGCTTATAAAAGGATGTACTTACAAACCTGTAAGACATGCTTAATAAAAAGTGTTATCTAGTCATATAATATACTATATATATGTTATAATTTTATAACACGTTATAAACACGAAGCTCTAATTAACTGCGGTAAATTATCTATCTTTTATTAATTTTTATTTTTATTCTAAAAAAAGATTCATGTCATTGAATAGTTTTAAATAATAATTCAACTTTAAACATCTCATTTCGTTTAACTTGCTTTCTTTAATATTCAAATCGTTGAATATTTATGATGTTTTTGATTAATTTATCTATTGTTACTTTATTAGTTTTTTTATCGTATTAAAGTTTACATGAATAGATAGTTGTTAATAATATGTATCATTTATTTTAATTAAATTTATTTATTTTATGATAGTATATCAATGACAAATATTGCAAAATTAGAATTCGTGGCTCAAGATATTTCCGGAAAGAACTATTTGTTATGGATTTAGATATAAGAAATTTTGTTTATACACACTGCAGTTGATTAGAAGTTTGTATTCAAATGATGAAAAGACCTTGGCTGGTAATTTAAAATTTTTCAAAAATAATTTTTGTAGGTATTATAAATTTAATATTTTATAATTTATTTAAATAAGTTTATTATTTCAAAAAATTCAAATAAAAGTTTAATATTTTCGATTTTATTAAAATAAACATAACATTTTTAATTACTTTTTTAATCAATTAGTTTTAATACCATAATATCTTTCATAAACAAAATAGTTATAATAGTAGAGTTAACCCCTGACGTTTACCCTTTTGTCATTACGTCATTTTTTTTATCATTAAACAAAATATTTTAACATTTACCCATTTAATATCGAAGTTGCAAATTTAAAGAGAAAATTGGTTAAGACATCTATTTAGCAAGTGTCATCATGAATAACAAATAGCATTAATTATTATGATTAGTTAAACAAATGTGGGGGAAAATAATAATACAAAAGGAAATATTATTTAGGAAGTCTACAACTGACTAATTAAACATGATTCCCATGAATAAAAAGCAAAGTCATATCAACAAATCCCTAACCAATTCCAATTATTTTTCCAACAAACAAAATTGATTGAATTTTACAACGTTTGAAACATTCAAAGATTGAAGGAAATACCATTCCAACAAAATATTTAAAAGAAAATTAATAATCAACAAATAAAAGTCAAAGTCATAAACATTGGATAATTCATGTCTTTATAAAATGTTGATGCTTTGTATAAATTTGAAAAAAAGTTAAATAGTAACTTATAAAAATAAATTGTGCTCGTGATATTTTTATTATACAATTTTTGGGGCATCCACTTGACCCTTTAAAACAAAACAGCTGTTTGCCTGTTTCACTTTCAGGCCATTGTTTCCCACGAGGCACAAAAGAAAGAAGCTTAACAAAGACTTCGCTACCTCTTCTCTTTGGCTTCTTCTTCTCTTTTATGCTCTTTGGTTTTAGCTTTTCTTTGGGGTTTCTTTAGTAGCTGAGAATCTGAAGGAGAATAAGTGGATTTTCAAACCTCTTGTTCTTGGTCTTTGTGATTATATACACACAGACACTCAAATCTCTTGCTCTTTTCTCTTCTTGAGTTGCTTCAGCTTCTGCAAAAATAGCAATGGCGGAGTATATCTGTGTACTTAACAAGGTACCCTTTATCTTCAACTTCTGTTTTTTTTTGCAATGCTTAAAAAAGACTCCATTTTTTTAGTTAAATGACCCTGAGTTGTGTCGGTCGGTTTTAAAAGCTCGACATTTTTTCCAAGAAAATGTTTGTTTTTCTTGATTTCCTAGTCTAACTTTTTTTCTCCAAGTTAATACTCATTATTGGTGGATTTGAAGGTTAATGCATTGTTTACCTCTTTGTTTGTTTGGATCTGGTTTTTCTTTTCACTTGTTCTTAAGATCTAAATTTGATCTTTTAATCTGTTCAAAACCAACATTGCATTTAAATTTCCTTTCCTGTTTAAGGACCTTTTTGTATTAAAGTTGTAATTTCATATTAAATTACTTAACTCACTACTGTTTGAACTTTACTCTTCTGTTTCCCTGTTTGTTTCTCATTTGAAATATTTCGCATAATATTTGGTTTTCCTCTAGAAACTGCCAATCCTTTTAATCTCTTTTTTTTTTGGCTATATCCTTTGATTTGATGATAAATTTGGTTATGTATGCTCTCTTTTTCAATGCAGGATACTCTAATTATAAAGCCTTCTAAGAAATCTCCACTGTTCTTGAGGACAATAGTGTTGTTGTTTACTATGGTATGTGGTGTTTATATCTGTACAATCTGTAGGAAGCAAATAAGTACTGTAACCAAGATGAACATCCAAGTCATTGGGAGTCCATCTCCAGATACTACCATTGCTGCACAACTAGAACCTCAAATTCCTACCTTACATTACCCTAAACCCGAAACCTTTAGTAGGTAACCTAAATTCCCTTCTATTTTGAACATGTTTTCTTTGTTATGATTTGGGGTTTAGCCAAATTTGCATGCTTAAGTTTTTCTGTTTTGATCGTTTTCCAGGGGTGAATGTTCACAGAATCCGGTGAGGTTCTTTGTCATATTGTCGATGCAAAGGTCGGGAAGTGGATGGTTTGAGACATTGTTAAATAGTCATGTTAACGTTAGCTCAAATGGGGAGATATTCTCTGTTATGGAGAGGAGGAAAAATATTTCTACCATTATACAAACTTTGGATAAGGTTTACAATTTAGATTGGCTCAATAGCGCTTCCAAGAATGAGTGCTCTGCCGCTGTTGGCTTCAAGTGGATGCTAAATCAGGTAAAATAGTGTAGTTTATGATGGTGGAAATTTGTGGTTATGATTGCACTTGGAACTGTGGTGGTCGTTATTATAGATCAGCTATGTGGTCAAGATCTCTAGTTCATTCTTGGTTGAAATATCATTATGAGCTGTTACAAACTGCCCTAGAACTTTGAAATTTGATTCATATTGATGGCGGGTTCATATCTTTCTCGTTTCTGTTAGGTTACCTGGAATTTGGTGCGAATGTTAGATATGGACATGTTCATTTTTTTCCTTCAAGGTTTTCATGTATTTGGCGGGTCTTGGGAAGTTATGTCCCATATCGATGTCTAAATATGTGCCGGACACGATTTTTCAAGATAAATTTATAATCGAGAACCATAGTTCGTTTGTCTTGACCTAGGTATTGTTAGAAGTTCAAGTGATAAAGTCATGGCGTTTATCAAGTTGTTCCAATTGTTTGAGAAAGGATCAAAGATAATAGTCAATTTTGTATTGGCATGATGTATTCACAGTTTCACTTGAGGCATCTAAGATACATTGATGTTTGTGTTTGGTCTGTCTTAATACTTGTTCTTTAATAAATTAAAAAGTTCGATAAATTCCCTTCTAAAGGAAAAAAGAATTATTAGGGCTTTGGCCAAGGGAATTTGGATTGCCATTGAATAATGCTTGTTTTGGATCGGCTGAGAAAATTGCACTTAATTTCTAGATATCTGATTTCCACGTCTTCATATTACAGTGATTGGCTGTAGTTAAACGAAGCAAAAGATTGCAATTAAGATGGTCGTAACCTCAGTGATGGAAGGATATTATTTGCCTTTCGGCACCCGCTTGATGGTCAATAGCTAACCATAGATGTATTGTTATGTAGGGATTGATGGCATACCATGAAGAAATCGTAGAATACTTCAAACAACGGGGCGTTTCTGCCATATTTCTCTTCCGAAGGAATTTACTTCGAAGGATGGTTTCAGTGCTTGCCAATTCATATGATCGCCATGCTAAGCTGTTGAATGGAACCCACAAATCTCATGTTCATTCACATCAAGAGGTCTCTGTCTGAACCCAACTCTCTCTCTCTGTTCTCGATCTGATTCGCGTATTCCTTTTTGGTCAATCTTGAACTTATTGCTTGTTTCTTAATGTAGGCCGCTGTTCTTTCAAGTTACAAGCCGGTAATCAATTTTACATCATTAATAAGTGATCTGAAAGAAGTAGGATCGGCTACTGTCAAGGCTTTAGAGTACTTCATCAGCACTCGTCACATGATTTTGTACTACGAGGATCTTGTCGTGAACCGAACAGTAAGATAGTCACAACCTGTCACTATATCCTTTTAGTAATTCATTAGTAGTTCTGTGTTTCATTAATTGTGTATCTATCTTTATGGTATTTGTACTCAAAGAGCATTCTTCTCTAATTCAGTTATCCGCTCGATGTTGTTGTTTATCATGATTGTTGCAGAAATTAAAAGACGTTCAGGGGTTTCTAGGGATTCCAGAGATGGAATTAACAAGTCGCCAGGTTAAGATACATGAAGGTCCGTTATCGGGTTTTGTGAAGAACTGGGATGATGTGAACAGAACATTAAGTGGAACAGAGTATGAAAGTTTCCTTCGTGCCGACTACTAAGAAAAATGAATGGTGTGGATACCATCTTCAGCTAATTTTTATTTCAGAAGCTAACCAGACAGACGTTCACCCTGTTTGATGGCCGCCATGAACGGAGGCATGGTGTTTCAAGTTTCGACATGCTGACGAGTCAGGTGATTGAGCACTGTAACATTTATTTTGTTGATTTGAATTTTGTTTGATGATATAGACAGCTTTGTATATGTGAGCTTATAAAGAGGAAAAGGGTCCCTTAAATAGACAACTTGTATATGTGAGCTTATGATGAAGAAAAAGGTGAATCAATCCTTCACCCTTACGATAAAGGAGATTGGCTGGATGGGTTTGCCAGAGCAGTAGGAATATGCACAATATTGGAAGCCGAACTATGGGGAGTACTAGAAGGGTTAGTGCATGCATGGAACATTGGAGCAAGGAAGGTTATTATCGAATTTGACAGCATGGAAACATTCATAGCTTTATCACAAGGAAAACGAAGGCAAACAAACCCTCTGATTTTACAAAATATTCAAGACTGGGTTAACAAAGAACGGTAAATCTCATTTAAGCAGGTGGGACGAAAGGTCAATCGATTGGCCGGTGTAACAAAACTGGTTCAACTGGAAGGTCATTCCAAGTGGCTTCGGTAGCAGTACAAGCTCTGAGGATATATTAGGAGCTCTTATACATGAGGATATATTAGGATTAGAAAGTGAGATTGTTAGTAAAATTAATTAGGTAGTCATTTCGCGTTTATTCATAAAAAAAGAGTGGTTTTAAATTTAGGAGTTATCTCCTGGTATATAGATTAAAATATGAAGAGGTAATTATGACTATTATTGGTTACAAAATAAATGACTAATGTCAATAAAGCAGCTGTTGTCAACACGCAGTCGCCACCAAACAATTTGAGGCACACATCCCGGACTCAAGGAGCCGGTCATTCCCTTCAGAACAAAGTCAAAATGTTTCTTATCAGGAGGTTGGTCGCCGTGTTAATCGTGCATTACGTTACATTGCAATCAGATCGTATCTTGTAATGCATGGCGACAGTAACTTTGGTCCTTGAATGATTTCAAATCTGGTTAGGTTTCTCTATTATTGTTGAATAATGTGTACTATTAAGCGAATCCAAATAATGGATATGACATAAAGTATATACTTAGGCTTAGGCTCTGTTTGTTTGAGGCATTTCATTTTTTGGAAAATACTTTTTTATTTTCTAATGTTTTGTTGTGGAAAATAAATTACGGTCAAAGAAAAAAAAAGAATAGAAGACAAAAAACAACTTACCGAAAATTTCTCGATAAGTCATTTTCCTATAGTCTCTCACAGATTCTTCTTACTTCTCCAAATTCTTTATCCTAGATGGCTAAACATACATAGTTCAACATTGTCAACCATTTATCGACAATCGATTCTTCTCATTGGCTTTCTTCCCATCATCGGTTCTCTTCCTCTAATTAATTTCTCACAATTCACCATCGTCACCCTAAAACTTCACGTCTTTTTATTTCCCCAAATCCTTTAGCTCTTTATCTTATTTTTCTGAAATGTCATTGGATCCTCATGATAATGCTAATCTACAAGTAAGAACACATTGTTCTCGACGGTTTCTTCACTTTTCGATGTGAGATCAATGTCGATTGTTATTTTCCTATCTAGATTATGTAAGGATTATTCCTAGGTTTACTTTTATTTTCACAAATTTAGAGTTTTCGAACTATGTTTTAGTAGCTAATGATATCAAAAACCCATGAATGCATATGATTTTTGGGTTATTGTCTGATATCAAGACTCTCTAAGGAACAACTCTAACCCGGGTTAACTTTAGATTTAAGCAATTTGTTGCATAGTACATTTAACTCCAACATTAGATTTTTTTTTCTTTTCCCTTTCGATTGCCAAATAAATGTGTTGGTGTCGCTTAAGATGATGTTTACACTTCTTATGGATTATCAATTAGGATTATTGATACCGTTTCGAGTATCGGTTAGGATTTGACTTGTATTAATTCCTCAGAAAATGCTGCAAATAAAAGAAAGCTAAATGTGTTAATCTTTGATCATATCAAGCCTAATATTATGGAGCAAGTGGAGGATCTTCAAGCAAATCTATTTGGCAGATTCTCGATTTGTATGAAGACTATGGTTCGCTCGAACGTTACCCATGAATTTTGTTTGTTAAGCGTGCAATATATTTCCAATAGAATTCTGAATGATATCATTTGTGCCAGAAAGCTTTAAATGTTTGAAGTTGTAACCCTTTAGTCTTAAGGTGATAACATCTTCCTTTGCCTTTCTGCAAATTGCATAATGCCCAAACAAGGTACAATAATAATTTAAAAAGAAGAAAATGGAGAGAATATAAATAATCTTATATTGCACAAAAGACAACATTGAGTACCGGATGAAAAACATTCTCAGCATATTGTCAAGCCCCCAGAACTTCGACGCCTCACACCGTCGGAATATCAGAGTCAAGGTCTGACGGGTCGTGCGGCCTTAGACGCTTTAGACGCTCCTCGGTCTTCTCGGCGACTAAGTAAGCCTTACCCAAGCTAAGTGAGTGTGCAAACTCACAAAGGTTGGAACCAAGCCCTCAAGGCTTCGGATTGCGGAAGCTTTAAACACCAACGTGGCTACTCCGAGCCACAAGGTCAGACTATCGTGTGGAAGTGCTAACACGAAGGTGGCTACTCCTGGCCACCAAGATAGGCAACAAGAACAAAGAACTAAGAACTCAGAAAGAATAGAGCAAATGCCTCAGAGCTTTATTACTCTCTCACAAAGAGAAGAATGGAATTGAGTGATTACAAATGAGGAGGAGAGCTCTCTATTTATAGGGGAGCTACCTCTCAATCGATGGCTAAGATCGTTTTACATGAAGGGCTAGGATTGATTCCCACCTAACCCAATCCCTTAAATCAAGGAAATCCCACCTAACCTTATCCTTCTAGAATCCTCCAAGGAATGGGCCAGATCTGATGGTTCTGGGCAAGCCCGATAGTCTGTATAATTCTCTTACAGATATCTGCTCACATGTCTCGGTTCGAATCCACGAGCCTTGACAACACTGCCCCCATCGCCCTCGTCGCTCCTCTCGGACGCCTCGGAATAGATCCTTCACGGACTTGTTAAGCATTCTCCAAGAATTTGCTAAGTCTGGTGGTCACGGTAAGCCCGATTCTCAGTATTGAACCTCTTGGTCGGACGCTTACACCAATGTCTCGGACCCAATTTTCTAGCCCGTGACATTCTCCCCCACCGAACCTAGCGACACCCTCGTCGATGCACTCGACGATCCTAGGCAACACCATCTTGGAAACTCTTCAGTGCCTTGGCTTGTCGCGGTTCTCCCATACGAACTGCTTGCCTTGGCTTTTGCCTCATGTAACTTTCCCGATCTTTCATGCCATAGTTCACATCAACTTGGTTGCCTTTCGACGCCTCCGCTTGCTCACGTCCTCCCATAAGGACTCGGCCTCCCATAATGGTTGTGCTTGCTTCGGCTCTTGCCGCCAAATGATGAAATGGGCTAACACGCCCACAAGTGCATCTCTTCCGTAGGAACTCCTTCTTACAAGTCTTGATTTGCCTCGGCTTGGACCTCCTTGTCCCTTGTGGCAAAGTCTTGGATCCCATCCAAACTTTGTTCTTTCCGTGTTAAGAGTTAAGTCTTGCCCGACCTACACTCACTTAAAATTGCAAATCAAGCTCATAAGAACAAAAGAATAGTGTTGAGATGTACCTTCCCCTCTGATTAGTTGGCATTTACTCAAAATTTTTGCGTCAGCCCTTCTTGCTCAATGAAGTCTGACACTCCCCGCATTGAACCCTTGTCATTGGAGTTCTTTGCGTCATCATGCATCGTAACTTTCTCACGGCAAAGTCCGATGCCCCTCCTTGCTTCCTCTCTTCTAACACGAAGGTTGGAGCTCGCTTCCCACCTTTGAAATGGGTGGTGTCTCCACGGTTGCCTTGTCCCTCAACGTCTTGGCCTCCTTCAACTCTTGTCTACGAGTCTTTGAAGGATTGTTCCTCTCTTGAACATCCTCGGTAAGCCCTTGTCTCGACTCCTTGGACATGGTTAACTCGGTCTGCCCTTGGCCTCTACTTGCTTTGGCAGAAATGAACCGTATTGAGCCAAGTCGCAACGCCCCCTCGATCCTTGGTTCGTCCTCTTCTTTGGACAACTCGATCATGGGCTCATCCGTTACCTTGGATGACTCGGCTCCCCTCGGGTAATCTTGCAACACTGTTGGCACCTCAAGTTTGCGCCCCTTCGCTTGCTCGACTCTTACCCTTGGCTTAGCATCTGTGTCACTTGAACTAGTGCACACATCATCACCAGATCCACCGTCCGGTTCATTGTTGAGTGGACTTACTCTTCCACTCGAGGAACAACATTCCTCATCCTTCGACTTGCCTTCATTGCGGAATCTCTTGTCGCTACCTTCGACTCTCGGCTTTGGTTTGGAAGACTTGTTCTTCTTGACTCAAAACTTTTTGATGGACTCCGCGGTTGTCAAGGCTTCAGATAGCTCCTTGACTTCCCTTCGCTCCAACGCCCTCTTTGCCCACGGTTTCAATCCGAACATGAAGGTGAAGAATCCCTCTTCTTCAGTCAAACTTGGGACTTTGAGCATGAGTCTTCTGAATCGGCTCACATACTCCTTCAGTGTCCCCTTATGCCTGAGGCGCCTCAACTTGGACCACGCCTCCATCTTGGCATATTGTGAGCGAACCTGCTCACTTTGCACCCTCGGCTTGACGGCTTTATCACTTGCTATCACACTGGGTCCTTTCCTGTGCTCGATTGCTTTGACACCCGCAGTCTCGTCACTTCTCGATCCAGGCTTGACTACTTGAGAACTTGTATTCGCACCATGCTTTCCCCTTGATTCGGCTACTTTGGAACATGTAGCCTCGTCAAGTCTTGCCCCTGACTTGATTGCTTGAACACCCGCAATCGCATCGAGCTTTACTCTAAGTTCGGCCACCTTATCATCGATAGCCTTCCCTTGTCTTGATCTTTGCTTGGCCGCATTGATCCCATCAATCGGACCAAGTCTTTTCCTTGACTTGGCACTTTTACTTGTGCCTCCGCCAACTTTCGCTACCTCCCCTTCTCCCATCATCCTCATGATGGTTGTAAGGCGACGCTTCTCGGGACATCCTCTAATCAAGTGAGGACCATCACAGAAGTAGCATTTCAGTTTTTCCTTGCTCCCCCTCTTCTTTTCCCCAAACTTGGCCTTGCCATTCTTTCCCGATGGCTTTCCTTGGCCGCGAACAGTCGATGGCTCAACTTGGCCACTCGAAGAGCTTTCTCTACCATCTCCCCGCTGCACCTTTTCCCGGTCTCCCCCATTGTTGCCACTATCCCTGGGCATGGGCCTGGACGACACATCGCTCTTTGGCTTGACATCTGCAAGCTCAGTCGGCGTTCCGACTACAGCTATGGCTTCCGAAAATCTCTGGGCATCACCTTGCTCTCCCCCGAGCATCGCCCCTGGTCTAAGTCCTTCCAAGAAGGTCTTGAGCACACCCTATTCACTCATTGCTCCCTTGCATATGAGTAGCTCCCTCTTGAGCTCATCCACCTCGCTTCTCAAAGCCATTACCTCGGCTTCTTGGGCATTCCTCCCTCGAACTATCCCCAACTCGTCTAGAACTCGTTGCGTCTCGACCTTGAATCTTCCCTCCATGGACTCCAATCTATCAAGACGGGACTCCACAACACCTTGGGTCTGCTTGGCCTCATTCTCGGCTTCTTCAA